ACACACACACACACACACACACACACACACACACACACAGCCTTGATCCTGAGCTGTCAGTCAACACCAAAATTAGAAGAATTAGACATAAAGGGGCGGAGCTCACGAGCTGCCAGGCCAGGATTAATACACACTAACAAGGTGTGTCTGTTTCAGGTGTGTGATGAACACACTAACAAGGTGTGTGTGTTTCAGGTGTGTGATGAACACACTAACAAGGTGTGTGTGTTTCAGGTGTGTGATGAACACACTAACAAGGTGTGTGTGTTTCAGGTGTGTGACGAACACACTAACAAGGTGTGTGTGTTTCAGGTGTGTGACGAACACACTAACAAGGTGTGTGTGTTTCAGGTGTGTGATGCGGCGGCTACGTTGTGGTAGCCAGGAGTCGTTGCTAAGCACCGGCTGTGTGTCGTCTCTAGAACTCAGAATGGACCAATCAGTGATCATCAAACCCGTTCACTCATCCCTGCTCGGACAGGACTACTGCTTCGAGGTGACTCACACTGCACCTGTAGCACACCTGTAGTACACCTGTGTTACACCTTAATACACCTGTGGTACACCTGTAGTACACCTGTGTTACACCTGTTAAACACCTGTTGTACACCTGTAAAATACCTGTTGTACACCTGTAGTACATCTGTGATAGACCCGTGGTACACCTTAATACACCTGTAGTACACCTGTAGTACACCTGTGGTACACCTGTGGTACACCTGTGGTACACCTGTGGTACATCTTAATACATCCACCTGTAATATACCTGTGGTATACCTGTGTTACACCTGTAATACACCTGTAGTACACCTGTAGTACACCTGTAGTACACATGTGGTACACCTGTGGTACACCTTAATACACCCACCTGTAGTATACCTGTAATACACCTATAGTATACCTGTAGTACATATGTGATACACCTGTGGTACACCTGTAATACACATGTGGTACACCTGCAGTACGTCTGTAGTACACCTTAATACACCTGTAGTACACCCGTGGTACACTTGTAGTACACCAGTGGTACACCTGTAGGACATCTGTAGCACACCTATAATACACCTGTAGTATACCTGTAATACACATGTGGTACACCTGTAGTATACCTGTAATACACCTGTAGTATACATGTAATACACCTGTGGTACTCTTGTGGTACACCTGTAGTACACGTGTAGTACATCTGCGGTACACCGCCCGTGGTACACCTTAATACACCTGTAGTATACCTGTAATACACATGTGGATGTTTAGTTTTAGCATTTAGAAACTATTTAGCTGAGTTTAGCTTTCACCTTGTGTTTTTTTAAAGCTAACTTCTTGCTCTAATTTTCTGGGTTTAGCTTTTAGATACTTTTAGCCAATTTAAGTATTTTTACACCTCATTGCTTTTTATAGCTTTTAGCCACTGATTTGCCTGTTTCCATTTTTGGCTCCTATTTCACTAATTTAAGCATTTAGCTATAGTTTAGGTGTTTTTTAGCTTTTACCTTTTGTTTTACCAAATTTAGCTTTTTTCTACTGCTTGATGGGTTTAACTTTTATAAACGTTTGGCTAATTTTAGTATTGGGCCACCTTATTGTGTTTGCTACCTTTAAGCTACAGTTTTGCTAACTTTAGCTCTTAGCTACTGTTTTTGCTGTTTAAGCGTTTGGCTACTCTTCAGCTAATTTTAGCATTTAGGATCCTGAGAAAGTGAGCCAGAATCCTGACTCACTTTCTCAGGATCCCGAAAAAAAGGAAAAAAAGTCGGGATTCTAAGAAAAAAAGTCGGGAATCTGAGAAAAAGTCGGGATCCTGAGGAAAAAAGTCCGGATCCTGAGAAATAAACGTCAGGATCCTGAGAAAAAAGTCAAGATTCTGAGAAAAAAAGTCGGGGTTCTGAGAAAAAAAAGTCGTAATCCTGAGAAAAACAGTCGGGATCCTGAGAAAAACAGTCGGGATCCTGAGAAAAAAAGTTGGGATCCTGAGAAACCTTCTCAAGATCCTGACTTTCTTAAATGAACGTTACTAGAGGTTATCAGTCCCATGCAGACGGTCCCTCCTCTACCTCCAAGCTTGGAAGGCACTTATCAATCATTTTATGACTGATATGCATTAAGACGAAGTGGGTTTATCTCCTCACCCGGGACATGGGTCAGCCCGGCTCACGCTCCAACTTTGAACTTCATCACCCACAACCACCCAGCGTAACCAGATGTTTACGGTTTCCCTGACAACGGGGTACTTTTGCTAAAGCTAGCCTGCTGCCTTCTCAGGTTTATATCTCAAAAAGCACCAAATGGATTTATGTGAAACTTTCAGGAGATGTTTATTACTCTTTAAAAATGTTTATTACACCACAGAGAACAGTTTATTAAAGTTTGAAATGATACAGAGCACGAGCGGGCGCACGGCTCAGATCGGGTTGTCGTGCTGCAAACAAAGCACTCCAGTCGGCGACATTTTGGCTGCATGGAGGTCTTGTCCAGCGGTTCTCGGATGTTTATTCTCTTTCCTGGACAACAGAAGAGGGGACGGGAGGGCGGAAGAGGCCAACCTCCACTTCAGGGCTCCTTTGCCTGTAAAATATGAAAATAAAATAAAACAAATCCACCTTGGATTTTGATGAAACTTTCAGAGGAATTTAGCTTCCACAGACAGAAATATGAGCCAAATCGCACTGATGGTTTAATAGTTGGTTTTCTACGATTAAATATATTCCCCTCAAACTAAAAACATGTTTCAGTAATTGTTTAACGCACCGAGTGCTTTCCTCGGGCAAAGGACAGAAAGCCAGGCCGATCGCTGGAGCTCCGAGTCCTGGGGGAGGAGCTAAACCCTCTGCACCTTAATGCATATTATCAGCCATACAGATGATAAGTACCTTCCAGGCTACTAGGAGGTAGAGGAGAGACAGTCTGCATGGGACTGATAGCAGCTAATAATATCCATTTGAGTAAATCAGGATCCTGAGAAACTTTCTCAGGATCCCAACTTATTTTCTCAGGATCCAGAATTTTTTTCTCAGGATCCCAAATTTTTTTCTCAGGATCCAGAATTTTTTTCTCAGGATCCCAATTTTTTTTCTCGGGATCCTAAATTTTTCTCTCACGATCCTGTTTTTTTCTCGGGACCCCGCCTTTTTTTCAGGATCCAGAATTTTTTCTCAGGATCCAGAATCTTTTTCTCAGGATCCAGAATTTTTTCTCAGGATCCCAATTTTTTTTTCTCAGGATCCCGAGAAAGTAAGTCAGGGTCTATTCCCCCCCATGTGGCTCCATTCTGTCTGTGCTCCAGAACTGACAGGCCGGGCAAGAAAACCCTTAATCTGAGAAGCAGCTAAGAATGCTATGCTAGCAGCTAACACAGCTAACCCTGTTCTGCGATGACACCACCTGTGTCCCTCAGGTGACAACCTCAACAGGCACAAAGTGCTTCTCATGCCGCTCGGCAGCAGAACGAGACAAATGGATGGAGAACCTGCGGCGAGCCGTCCACCCCAACAAGGACAACAGCCGGCGGCTGGAGAACGTTCTGACCTTGTGGGTGATCGAAGCTAAAGACCTGCCCGCCAAGAAACGGTAAGACCCCGGTCCCGCCGGGGACCCAGCTGCTGCAGCGTACCAGGGAACTACAGCGGGATGTTCTGATCCACAGGTACTTCTGCGAGCTGTGTCTGGACGACAGCCTGTACGCTCGCACCTCCTGCAAGCTGAAGACGGACAACATCTTCTGGGGCGAGCGCTTCGACTTCAGCAGCCTGCCGTCCGTGGCCTCCATCACACTGCACCTCTACAAGGACACAGACAGGAAGAGGAAGAAGGACAAGAGCAGCTACGTGGGCCTGATCAACATCCCCGTCGCCACCGTGATGGGCAGACAGCTGGTGGAGAAGTGGTACACGCTGAGCACGCCCAGCACCATCCGAGGTACGCAGACCTCAGCCGGACCTCTGGAGTCAGAGGTTTGAGGATGTTTACTCAGATGTTTACTCAGATGTTTACTCAGACGTTTGCTCAGATGTTTACTCGGATGTTTACTCAGATGTTTACTCAGATGTTTACTCAGATGTTTACTCGGATGTTTACTCAGATGTTTACTCAGATGTTTACTCAGATGTTTACTCAGATGTTTACTCGGATGTTTACTCAGATGTTTACTCAGATGTTTACTCAGATGTTTACTCAGATGTTTGCTCAGATGTTTGCTCGGATGTTTGCTCGGATGTTTACTCGGATGTTTACTCAGATGTTTACTCAGATGTTTACACAGATGTTTACTCAGATGTTTACTCAGATGTTTACACAGATGTTTACTCAGATGTTTGCTCAGATGTTTGCTCAGATGTTTACTCAGATGTTTGCTCAGATGTTTACTTAGATGTTTACTCAGATGTTTACTCAGATGTTTACACAGATGTTTACTCAGATGTTTACTCAGATGTTTGCTCAGATGTTTACTCAGATGTTTGCTCAGATGTTTACTTAGATGTTTACTCAGATGTTTACTCAGATGTTTACACAGATGTTTACTCAGATGTTTACTCAGATGTTTGCTCAGATGTTTACTCAGATGTTTGCTCAGATGTTTACTTAAATGTTTGCTCAGATGTTT